GTTACCACAAAGTTGACAAAAGCAACTCATTCCTGTAGTTTTTTATTAGGTGGTATTTTGTATGTTTATCGTGGTATTCCTTCACAACATCTCGCATCTCTGAAGAAACTTTGTTATCTTTGTTCATCCATCCACACTCTCCCACTCTGGCACATTTCTAAAAATGAAGCTATTCATGGTGTTCCTGTTCTTTTGTAGAATAAGTGTCTGCACCGATAAATGATACAAAATGAAGTACACAACCTTTTTCTATATGACTAAATTAAAGTCATTTAAAACACCTGACAAATAGAAACTAGAAAGTCTCATACTTTCCCAATGTTATTGAAAAGTCTAGTCCCTTAGTCCCTTAATGTTTTGGCATTTGGCTGACTGATATTCAGTTGGAGATTGAATAGTCTGTAGTTCTGTACAATTTCCATTTGCATATAAATCATACCTTCCATGTGAATTCTCTTGAATGTTTGCATTCTGAATAGAATGGAGCCCATAAAACGTAATCCGATTGGTATTGTTTTGCTTAGTCATTTTATGTTTAAACTTTTGCTATTTGTCATCCATGTCAAGTGATTTAACTGCACAAATTCTATTCATGTCTGGCTCTTTCGATATTATAGCTTGTGATGTTAACTTTTACATACTATGTACTCTTCTACATAAGCATGTCATATGACCGCCATTAGTTCTTTGTGTTGCACAGGGACGTGAAATTCCAATAGTCCACAGAGTGATAAAGGCAAGTTTTTTTTGCAATATCATCTTTTCAAGTTTTTTTTCTTTCTAATCATGCATCTTTTCTAGAAAACTACTTCACAGCATACTCATTCTGATCATCTATCAAAGCCATTAATCTTTAATACAAGCTTGTTTTCTCTTCAAGGAGGTCTAATTTTATAACCTATTACAATGTAAAAATCTGGAAAAAATGAATATGCACTGTTTCATGGGTATCTATCTGTTAGTTTGCCACCACAAGGAAATGTGGAACAATGCGGTTGCCAAATGTCAACTTAGTTTATTACTATGATATTTGTTTGGTTGTAGGTCCATGAGCGCCAAGATACTGGAGAAGTTGATGTGCTAACAAAAGGTACATTTTGTGCGTGTTCTTTATATAACTGCATGAGTCGGGAATTATATGGACATTTCTTTCCCAAATTTCCTACTCCTTTTGCCACCTTCTCATTTGAAATTTAAGCTTCCAAGTGAACCCGATATGTTGTTTGGCATTCGTTTATCATTATTTTTATTGTCATTGTTTTTTTGGCGATCATTTGAATCTACAGGAGACAATAATTTTGGGGACGATAGAGCTCTGTATGCCCAAGGTCAGCTCTGGTTACAACGTCAGCACATCATGGGGAGAGCTGTCGGGTGAGTGTAAACTAACGCTGTTTGGCTGTTAGAGTTTGGCCTTAACATTTTGAAAACGTGATCCAAGAGTAGCTTTTTAGGCTTTAGTTTTTAAATGCTAATCTGCACCTTTAAAAATTTATACAAAACTCTAACGCTAATTACAGACACTATTCCCATTTCCCAAACGGAGCCTAAAAGTGATTTTGATTCTTCGTATTTGCTAGTTTCTACTGTTCATAGAAGGAAACGCTTCCCAATATATGATCCTAGCTTCTAACAGAGCAGACCTGAACACCTCATTTATACAAGTATTACCTGCTGATGAACAGTTCACCAAGTTAATATCAAGTGCATTGTTATCAACACAATCACAGTCAACTTTAACCCTTCTCAAATCTCGACGTCTCTTCATCGCCATCTTCCACAATGGAAGAAAATCGTCATGGTGGCATAACGTTGGATGATGATATTTGATAACTCAAAGCATGGAATTAAATAATTTAATATGTTCTTTGACTTCTTTTTGTGCTTATTATTTTTGGTGGTATGTTATTTTTGAAGATTGAAGGAGATTTGTTTCTTATGAACCGTTTGTTATGTGACTTTATGTGCTACCTTTAAACATAGTTTTGTTTTGGTAATGATATTTTGTCATATAAATATATATAGTTATCTTGGGTCAATGAAGATATATACTCCCTCTGTCCACAAATAAACTTCCCAGTTTGACTCGGCACGCAAATTAAGGTAGAGTAAATATGTGTTTGACTTTCCTAAAATACCCCTCCCTTCTCCTTCACCCAGTCAGCCTCCCAACTTCTCCAATCCTCCGTCAACACAACCCAATGGCCACCCTCCATCTCCATCTCCCCCTTCGTCCAACATATTGAAAAAATAGATCTAAAAAATGAAAATACAAAATCGGAAACAAAGAGGATGCCGCCTGCAGAGATCTATTTAGATCTGAGGGATTTTTCCTTCTATTCAGATCTGAAGGGAGTTGCACATAAAATATTCTAAGGTCGCCACCGTCTGATTCGACGTCATCTAAATTGTTGGGGAAGGAAGCCGAGCCGCCTGAGCAGTAACACAAACTGGATCAGAGAGGATGGAATTAACAAAAAAGAAAATCGGGGAGAAAGAGAAGATCGAGAGAAGAGAGAAATAGAGAAAATCAGAAGAATGAGAGGATTGAGAGAGAGAGATACAGATTATGATGAAGAAACTAAAGAAAGAGAGGTGGAAGAGGATGGAGGGAGAAATACTGAGTGGCGAGAGAGAGGTGGGTGTTTAGGATGATAAGGGTAGTAGTGTCTTTTTGAGAGATATTTTTTGCCAAAAAGGAAATGGGAAGTTATTTTGTGGACCAACAAATAAGGAAAGGGAAGTTTATTTGTGGACGGAGGGAGTATAACATTAAAAATTTCAATCCTAATTGTGATTTGTCAACTAGTAGGCTGACTAGTCGACTAATCCACTAGTCTCCTCTTCACCAACTTGACTTGACTTTCCGACTTAACAGATCAAGTGTTCATCTTTCTTTTTGGTGGTCCAGCTGTGTTGTTTGACAGTATTCTTAATCTCACCCCCTCAATTTTCTGGTTGTTTTATTGCAGGTTCTTGCCGTATGTGGGCTGGGTAACAATTATTATGACTGAGAACCCTATTATCAAGGTCTGTATATAATTCCTAAATGCTCTTCCACGAGGAGATGGATAATCTCCTGCGCTACAATGGCGGTCCAAATTGACTTGGAAGATGTGAAAATTACTCCAAATTAATGTGGACCATTGCTGTAGTAACTCCTGCTTCCTTCCCCAATGTTTACTTCCCTTTCCCCACTCGTTTAATAGTTTATGAGCACTACATTCCTGATAACACCAAAAGGAAAAAAAAACATAGATCTGTGTGGAACAACTAAATAGTTTGACCTGATTTTGTTTTGCTTGCAGTATATTCTGATAGGTGCTTTGGGGTTGTTGGTCATCACATCAAAAGAATAGGGCAACTATGGAATGGAACCACACGGGTTCAATCAATTTCTACTATATAGTGTTTTATCTCTAATTGCGCTTGTCCCCGGCATGTCTAACTCTAACACACGCTGTTTATGGGCCTGTGCAACTCTGCTGATGCGTGTGTTGTGGGAAGGAAATATAGGTGAACAATGGTGTAAGCTCCCTCGATGTTATGATTTTCATTTATATACAAGACATAATCATAATCCTAGGTTTATATGAACAGATTTATCTTGCTACAACTATTGAGTTCCTTTTTTTTATACTTTCTTTTCCTGTCCTAGGCTTTTTTGCCAACCCTTATACCAAGCAACATTTCAGACATGTGTGTTAGTTCCTTGCAGTGCTCAGTTGTAAACGTAGCTGACATTATTTTTTGACAAAACGAGTAGCTTTATTTAGGAAAGATTGTATTGTCCTGTCCTTCACCATGTGAAGACTTGAAACATTCATATTCCACGATCTAGGAGACTTGATTCCACTAGGAGTCTTGCAAATATGGAAGTAATCTCAGAGAGGGGAGAGGGAAGCATGCAATGAATTAAGACCATGCGATGTGGGTGGCCTGTGGTGTGCCGTGATGGCCACGTGGTGCCACTTCACCCCCTTTCACGCCGTGTACCCTGCCGCCCTAAGGTCTGACCGTGATGGTGGTCATACCCATCACAGTCACCACGACACCCCCCCTCCCTAACGGCTAGTTTTCCTCTTTTTTTCTATTATTTAAACGCATCCTCCTCACTCCCCTTAAACACACTTTCAACTCTTCTTTTCTACTACTATTCTAAATTTTCATCCTCTTTTCTCTCTCACAATGTAGACGTCTTTTGATTTTGATGAAGTCGACATGCTCTTCATAAATACCATGGCCCAGATGGTTTAGATTCTTACACAACAATAGAAAAACAACAAACCTCTTGAATTGCGTGGAAGAAGAGCTATGAACAGAGATAGAATCTAAATATTTAAATTAAATATTACCGGGGTATGAAACTAATGCGTTGGTTGGCACGATCGATTAGTTGCGGATTATTTTTCTGCTAATGTGATCTTCACCAACGAACAATTTAGGCGAAGATTTTGCATGAGTCATTGTTTTTTCTCTGCATTGTGAGCGATTTGGCGGGTGCAATTCCTTTTTGTCTTGTTGCAGCATGATGCCCGATATAAAAGTTGGGTTTTTAACGTTGCAAAAGTGCACGACAACGATGCAACAATTGCCATACGGCAACAATGCAAATGCACTCGATGAGTATCTATGCATGTTCGATTGAACGGTACGAGAAAGCTTGTAAGCATTGAAAATGGGTTATTAGATTGTACGCAAAAGATGTGCAAGCGTTGATGTGCAAGCGTTATTCACTGCCCATGAAGCCTGACATAGATTTCTCGGCATGTTTGACGCCGAATTAAAATCCGACGTATGACGAGGAACAGAACAATCGAAATCGAAAGGGAAACGCTAGGGGAGAAAATTCTCTCTAGGGTTTATTCATACGAAAAATAATTAAGTCTCTCCCAAAGCTGCCCACAAGCCGGGCTTAAATAGCCGAAGAACTGTAAGTAAAGTAGGAAACCCTAAAACATCAAAAAAAGGCCCAAAAATATAAGTGTAAACTTAGTGGGCCAAAACGCTTCGCTTTCTTACTCCCCTTGAGCTTATCTCGCCTTTCATGGTAGAGAAGCGCTTGGATAGTCGAATCCGACAATTCAGCCTCGTCTAAGTCACTTGCTACTGCATCAGCCTCCCTGGGTTGGAAAGAACTCGTCCTCGAGTTCACATCACTCTCCTAAGCATCCATAAAACAAGGAGTTAGGTTCTTCACATTGAACACGTCAGAAGTCCTCAGATGACCAGGAAGCCGCAACTTATAAGCATTATCATTGATCTTCTGCACTATCTCGCAAGGTCTAATCTTCCGCTCCTTAAGCTTATCGTACTCACCAACAAGGAAGCGATCTTTAGTTAATACAACCCAAACAAAATCACCGACATCAAACAGAACTTGACGACGATGTTTGTCCACCCGGGCCTTGTACCTGTTGTTGCTCTCCTCAATCTTGCTCCGCACCTGCTCATGAATTCCTTTCAGATGCACTGTCATCTCCTCGGCTCTAGGATGAAAACGCCCCACACGTGGAATAGGGGCCAAATCTAGAACCCCTGTCGGGTTCCGACCATAGACAACTTGAAATGGACTCATGCCAGTGGTCCTGCTCGTCGACCTGTTGCAGGCAAATTCTGCTTGAGGGAGAGCTAAGTCCCACTGCTTCGGCTTTGACCCAGCCAAGCAACGAAGGAGGTTGCCCACACTGTGATTCACCACCTCTGTCTGACCATCCGTTTGGGGGTGATAGGCGCTGCTGAAATTTAAATGAGTACCCAACTTTTCCCATAAACTCTTCCAGAACATGCTCATGAACTTCGTGTCACGATCTGAAGTGATGGATCGTGGAACTCCATGCAACCGTACAATCTCCTTAAAATAAAGATGAGCAATCCGCACAGCGTCCATGGTTTTCCTACAAGGTACAAAATGCACCATCTTGGAAAACTTGTCAACAACTACAAAGACAGAATCTGCCGCCCTCTGGGTGCGGGGTAAACCAAGCACAAGATCCATGCTAACATCAAACCAAGGAGCTTCAGGAACATGTAATGGGGTGTAAAGACATGCGTTAGTAAGAACTCCCTTTGATTGCTGGAACACATAACAACGATCCACAAAATGGGTCACATCATTTCTCAATTTTGGCCAATAAAAGTCAGCCGACACAAGAAACAGAGTCTTGTCTCGACCAGAATGCCCTTCATTGTGGAGCTCACTGATAATCTGTTGCTGCAAGGAACAATCTGGGATGCACAGTTGCTGCCCTCGAAATAGATAACCATTGTGCACAATAAAATCACATCACTAACCAGAAATTACCTCCATAAATATCTTCCCGAGCGAAGGGTCATCCTTATACATGTCTTCAAACACATCAAACCCTGTCACTCGACTACTCATGGAGGTGAGAAGCATACTGCGCCGACTCAAAACATCGGCAACACGATTCACGCTGCCCGCTTGGTGCTTTAGAGCAAAGGTGAACTCCTGCAAGTATGCCACCCATTTGGCATGTCGCCTATTCAAGTTGTGCTGCCCATTGATATACTTTAAAGCCTCGTGATCAGTAAACAAAATGAACTCCTTCTGTATTAGATAATGGCACCAATGTTTGAGTGACTGAACAATGGCGTATAACTCCAGATCATACGTGGAGTATTCTTCTGGGCACCTGAAAGTTTCTCACTGAAAAACGCACCCCTCCAATGCCAATGCCGGATGCATCACAGTTGACCTCAAACACTTTGTCAAAATCTGGAAGTGCTAAGACTGGTGCTTCAGTCATCATCTGTTTCACTTGCTCAAAGCTAGACTCCGCTTCCTCAGTCCACTGGAATTCTCGTCCCTTGAAACACTCACTGATGGGTGCAATTACGCTGCTGAAATTCCTGATGAATCTGCGATAGAAGGATGCTAAGCCATGGAAACTACGAATGTCGTGTAGTGTCCTTGGCCTAGGCCACTGATAATTGCCTCAATCTTTGAGGGATCTGCATGCACCCCGTTAGTGGACACCACAAAACCAAGAAACTGCACTGAAGTCGTGAAAAAGAAGCACTTCTTCTTGTTGATGAACAAGCTCTCTGTTTTTAGCACTTCAAACACAACGCGTAGGTGCTCAAAATGGGCAGCCCAAGTAGGACTGTAAATAAGGATATTGTCGAAGTAAACGACCACGAACTTCCCCATAAAAGGTCTCAAGACCTGATGCTTAAAACGCATGAATGTGCTCGGTGTGTTGGACAACCCAAAAGGCATTACCAACCACTCATATAATCCTTGATGCGTCTTAAATGTTGTCTTCCACTCATCTCCGGGCTTAATCCGAACTTGGTTGTACCCACTCTTAAGATCGATCTTGGAAAAGATCTTAGAGCCCGATAACTGATCTAGCATGTTATCAAGTCGGGGAATGGGAAATCGGTACTTCACTGTAATTCGGTTGATTGCTCGGCTATCCACACACATGCGCCAAGATCCGTCCTTCTTTGGTACCAATAAGGCAGGAACTGCGCATGGGCTCATACTTTCCCTGATATAGCCCCTCTCAAGCAAGTCCACAACCTGTCGCTGCAACTCTTCTGCCTCCTTGGGACTGAGACGGTATGCTGGTATGTTGGGGAGGCTAGAACCTGGGACCAAATCAATTTGGTGCTGGATGTCCCTCAACGGTGGTAAACCAGGAGGAAGGTCCTCCGGCATCAAGTATGAGATTGGTTCGGATTGGGTCAAATTGGGTTGGTTCGGATTGGGCAGCTTTTCTTCAGAGACTAGTCATTGCCTAAGGGTCACCTAGTCGCCTAGTCTACCCTAGTCGCCAGTCGACGTGCAAGTCGCCATTTAGAAAATGCCTGGACGACTAGTCGTCGACTAGGCGATGACTTGACAACAATGGTAGCAATGCGGTTAAACATAGGGGGAAGGAGAAAAACTAAACGATTGGCCTCTGAGACCACTGAAACTCCAAAAGCTATCAATAAACCTCTGTCGAGATCACCAGAAGCCCAAAATAGAGTTGGTCGGTGATACATCGAGGAAGGAGTGGTGGATCTGTGAGGAACCTAAATTAACAATAAGGGATTGAAAGTAAACCTACAAATTAAAAGCCAAGAAAAAAATTAATTGGATTGAAGCATTAAGAAGATCAGTCATTCATTTTTTTTCAAAAAAGGTTTGAAGACACTACCCAAGTAATTGGAGCTTCACCTTTTTATTCAGCTAAATTTTTTAGGGTCGAATACTCATTCTTCAAATATTACAATAGTTTGGTTTGCATGATATTGAGACCAACAATGCCATAGGATGATCCAAGAGGCGTACGGTATTTTGTTTGAAGGAACGATTCGTACTCCTCCTAACCATCTCTCTCACCAATAAACCCCAACCCCGACCTATCCCTCATCCGTTCAATTGCATCTCTCAAATTTGGTTGATTTTGGAGTTAAATTTTGACTCAAGTCAACAAAATTTGGGTGGTGCGACTGAAGGGCGAAAGGTGGGTTCGGGTCGAATTGGGATTGGGGGTTTGCTTAGAGGTAAGAACCATTATTTTTCTAGAACGAACTACTATTTGATTTTCGGATCATCCAATGACATTGTTTGGCAATGTCACGAGAACCACCACAAATACTAAGTCGAATTCATTCCTGTTTGGCAATGTGACAAGAACCACCACAAATATTAACTCGAATTCATTCCTAAAAAAGTCTAATTGAAATTGATGGTGTAAATTACCTAACCGGGTAAACAGTACCAGACCGGGTCTAGGATTGTTTACTAGATTCGGGAAAGTAAGAAGGTAAAACACACAAAATTACCAAGAGGACTGTAGGTGGAAACACCTGTAGCCCAATTAATATTTCGAATATATTAGAATGCACGGAAGCTTTTACACGGGAGTTTTAGAGAGAAGAAATCAGATCCATTCATTTGAGGGTTACACAAATATTTATAGTAGCTACAGGAGACAAGACGCCGCACATCCACGTCAGGGCACGTTCCGGGGTGGTGCGAGGTGACTCCCTTTGTCCTCTAGCCACCTTGTCACCTAGTGAGGAAGGTGCCTTCAATCGTGTAGTATTCTGGATGGATTATTCAAGTATCTCCAATGATTCTCCACTGATCATAGTCACTACAGTCCAAGCTCCTTTGGATTCTTCTTTGCCGACACTTTCCAACCCTATAAACTATACCGGGTGGTTTCTGAGGGATGAGTTTACTGAAAATAGGGATGAATGGGGGAATAAAGTAGTTTGACCGGTAGACTTTTCGAAGTGTACCGATCATTGGACTCTAGCCACCTTGTCACCTAGTGAGGAAGGTGCCTTCAATCGTGTAGTATTCTGGATGGATTATTCAAGTATCTCCAATGATTCTCCACTGATCATGGTCACTACAGTCCAAGCTCCTTTGGATTCTTCTTTGCCGACACTTTCCAACCCTATAAACTATACCGGGTGGTTTGAAGTATCTCCAATGATTCTCCACTGATCATGGTCACTACAGTCCAAGCACCTTTTTACTGTTGTTTTAGGATTCCCACTCAAGAAAATCAACTGGTTGACTATTTGAACGTCTCCTTTGATAGGTTTTGAGTGGAATACACCCATCAGAAACTAAGGTATTGTAGGATCGTTTTTTTTGGAACTTCCCAGTGGGTCACCCATCCTGGGACTACTCCCGTTCCAGCACGCTTAACTACAGAGTTTTGAAGTTAAAGAGGTGCCAAATGCTTCCTAAAACCAATTGGTGATAGGAAGGTGGACACTTTGTATTTAACCACATCTCTCTGTAGCCCCAAGCCGAGGTAGATTCCTATAGGGCACCCCCTATAGTTCACTACGGCAGTGCGGAGCCCCACTACTGAGCGGTGGATGGACAGGAGGGGCTTTGCAAGATACACGACTCGTGTACCTCGTTAGGTTGGGCTGTCAGTACCCGATACCGTGACTAGCACAGTAGCGAATCCCTAAGGGTGATCGATGGTCCCCGATAAGACCAACAGGTATAATGTAACTCGACCCGTTTTGTCATCCCTAATTGTTATTTATAATCCTTTTATTTATAATCCCTAATTGTTATCTATAGCAAAAAAAGCTTAACTACCAAAAAAATGATTTAATGAACACGTGCTATCTTTTCTTTATGAGAACACGTGTCAAGGAGATGGTAAAAAACACGTCACTGTATTGTAAAAAACACGTTACTTTTGGAATTAGAATCAAACTTTGATTAAAACTCTAGCGGGCTAATCAACTGATCCAACGACATGATGATTTTCTCATATGGAGGTCACAAATTCCATCTTGAGTAATAATAACTTTACATAATTAATATGTTGAAATTTATGAATATATATTATGTTAAAATAATGTTATTAGTATTTAAAAAAACATTACCCGCTATTTATTACTCTTTTTCTCTTAAAATAATTTACACTATTTTTATATTATTATAATTATTATATCTCGCTAAATTATACGGAGTAATATTTGTTTGATTTTGAAAAAAAAGAAATTACCCTAAATAAGACTAAAACATAGAGAATATACCAAAATATGAGTTCTGTGTTTTTATTTTCTAAATAGGAGTTTGCATTGTAGTAATGTGGCACTGTACATGTGCATTTTATGTAATGTACCTGGTCATTATTGATAATGTAAATACATTTTAAGTCTTATTTTGAGAATAAAAATATGAAATTCATATATTGATATATTTTTAATGTTTTACTCCCACTTTAATTGTTTTTCGACTAGGTTTCAATAATGTTCAATATGATTGTCAACGGATGAGTGCGTCAAACACATTGTTTAAAGAGCAAGTTTAGAAACAAGTCTCTCACAAACTTACCATTTCAGATGTAAATTTTCATTTTAAAATTATTTTAGGCTATTTCATTTTTTTATTAAAATTTACAAATCGTAAGTTTGTGAAATTTGTGACGATTTTATACGCAAATCAAGCATTTCCCTTGTTTAAATAATATAACAACAAAAATTGTTGTCCAATTCAGTGCAGAGGCGTATGCTCTCTATTTTAGTTTGCTTCATTTTATTGATTTTCATGTGATATTATAGAAATCTCGTCTGATATGATTGAATCTGATCTAATTCATTCTGATAGGATTAATTTGATTGGATCTTATCTGATTACATCTGATGAATTCTGATTAGATCTGATCTTGTATGATTTGATTGGACGTTATCTAACCTGATTGGACATTATCTAATCTTATTGGGTGTGATCTAACTTGATTGAATCTAATCTAGTTTTAAAAGATATTGTGTGATTTTTTTTTGAAAGGAGATATTGTGTGATTTGATTCAAATAAAATTTTAAATTATTATAATAACTTTATTATAGTTATTATTATTGTTATTGTTATTGTTAGTATTATTGTTATTATTATTTTCGGCCCGGTTCCATGGCCACTGGAATCCAGTGGCCACGGAAGCCACTGCCCCCTACGAAACTCCGTTCATAAAATTGATGATTCCTACCCCCCGGTAAACCCCCCCACCAAGTCCCGACCCAAACTCATCACCCCACCTACGTCAATTGCACCTCGTAAGCATACTTGACTCCTACGAAGCCACTGCCCCCCTACCAAACTCATCACCCCTACGAAACTCCGTTCATAAATGTCTCAAAATAGTTCACTCCATGTAAAATACTTACTTTTAAATATTCTTATCAATTTCACACTCTTTTATTTTCGTGAAGATAAAATAAGTAAATTTTTATATGACAGATAGAGTATTAGTAATAAAGTTATTGCTGCTTCAAACCTTAGTTTTTATATATGTAAATTTAGCCTTCTATTTTTATACTTTTTTAGCGATAAAATTATTTTAAAAAATATACAATTTTGCATGGTTTTTTGGAAGAAGATAATAAATTAGTAATAGATAGAGTATTATGATCACATAAATAATAATAACAATACACAATATTAAATAATAAGTAACAAGTAGTTATATTATTACTTAAGTGAATATAACATTATAATTAATTATTATTAGTAAATTTTATGCAACATTAAATAATAAATCATAATCGCATTAAAAAGGAAATTGATACCATTATTTTTTGGTGAATTATATTATTTTCCAATATTCTTTGCGGAGCTTACGAGAACAGATTTCCAATTTTGTTGATCAGAACTTCAAAATTTATTATTTAGCTACTAAACATGAAGAGATTCCTTTTTTCTATATATCGAGGCTAAAGTATACAAAATTTGACCAAGAAAAGTCAAATGAGAAGATTAAGTTTAAATGGAGAAAGTTTTGTGGAAGATTAAGTCAATTGAGTAAAAAATAAAAATTCATATTCTGTACAAACAAAAAATTATAAAATCAAATTATAAAATAATAAAAATAATATTTTAAAAGTTTAAAATCAGCTTCTAAAATAATAAGTGAAAATTAAAATTCATATTTCTCACTATTTCATAATCAAAATGATACTCTTTTTCTTAAACTTTTAAATTAATATTTGTGACTAACAAAATATTTTTTGTATCTAACAAAACAATTCAAGATGAACAAATAATTAATAATTATGTGAAAAGAATTTAACATAATTATTTGAAAATACCTTAATAAGACTGATTTGAGAAAATATCTTATTAAAAAATATTGTTTTGAGATGAATCAAAGAAATTTATAAATAGGTGACTACAATACTTAAGACTATATTTTCTAGGAAAATGGTATGTGTCATGATTATGTATCTCACTTTTAGATAAATGGGATAATATGTATACTATGAGATTGACTTCGATCATCCACATCTTAAATTGTACTCCCTCCGTCCCAAAAAGTCCGACACGTTTCAAAAAAACTGTGTCCCATAAAGTGCGTAACATTTCTATTAAAAAACCACTTTCATCCCTTACTTTTTCATACCCTACCTATCACATCATACCTTTTTCCTAATTATCTACCCATCACATCCTACTTTTACCCATCACATCAAGGGTATTTTTGGAAAGTCAACACCAAAATATCCCTCCCTTAATTTCCCAAAAAGTCAATATGTACCAATCTTTTTGGGACGGAAGGAGTATTACGTTGAACTTTTTTAATAGTAAGATGACTAATTATGAAATGGAATAAAAGTATTTTCATACGATCTGACCATTTTTAAATGATTGAATATTTAAAATAAATAAATTAGGAAAGCGATTTAATATCTATTTTGTACTTTATATTGGTAAATTAATTTACTATATTAACCAAAATAACTTTGTAATGTAACTTATCATTTTTTGTAAGTTGTAACTTAGGATTTACTCAATATATACTTATATTGTGTTATAATTTACTATATTTATGCATAAAAATAAGAAAAACTGAATGAGAGATGACTTACTTCCTATGTTTTTTTATTTGTGCAATCGCGCATAGAAATTTTATAGAATGATATTCTAATAGGCGATAAAATTTATTCAAAGAGGATTTCGATAAAGAAGATCATGGTGTGAAGGGGAGCATGCGAAGATCTAGAATGAGAGATAATTAATAAAGCAAGAGAAAGTACATAGAAAATTAAAGGAAAATTTGTTGGTCTTATGGGGGACCATCGATCACCCTTAGGGATTCGCTACTTTGCTAGTCACGGTATCGGGTACTGACAGCCCAACCTGACGAGGTACACGAGTCGTGTATCTTGCGAAGCCCCTCTTGTCCATCCACCGCTCAGTAGTGGGGCTCCGCACTGCCGTAGTGAACTATAGGGGGTGCCCTATAGGAATCTACCTCGGCTTGGGCTACAGAGAGATGTGGTTAAATACAAAGTGTCCACCTTCCTATCACCAATTGGTTTTATGAAGCATTTGACACCGCTTTAACTTCAAAACTCTGTAGTTAAGCGTGCTGGAACTAGAGTAGTCCCAGGATGGGTGACCCACTGAGAAGTTCCAGAAAAACGATCCTACAAGTGGTATCGGAGCGAGGAAGCAGGCTCGAATCCCCCGGGTGTCGCTGGGGGGAGATTGTTGGTCTTATGGGGGACCATCGATCACCCTTAGGGATTCGCTACTTTGCTAGTCACGGTATCGGGTACTGACAGCCCAACCTGGCGAGGTACACGAGTCGTGTATCTTGCGAAGCCCCTCTTGTCCATCCACCGCTCAGTAGTGGGGCTCCGCACTGCCGTAGTGAACTATAGGGGGTGCCCTATAGGAATCTACCTCGGCTTGGGGCTACAGAGAGATGTGGTTAAATACAAAGTGTCCACCTTCCTATCACCAATTAGTTTTAGGAAGATTTGGCACCTCTTTAACTTCAAAACTCTGTAGTTAAGCGTGCTGGAACTGGAGTAGTCCCAGGATGGGTGACCCACTGGGAAGTTCCAGAAAAACGATCCTACAAAATTTACCTATATAAGAGTGAAACATAGTGAATTTCCCAATGTAGTATCATATATTTTAATTTCTCAATCAAGTACCACTGTTTAATTTTCACTCGACATTGTTGTTCAAGTAAAATGTCCACCGCCACTAGACATTATTCAAGTAAAATGTCTACCGCCACTAGACATTGTTCTCACTATTGAACATTATTCAAGTACTATTTAAGGAACAAAAAATTTTAAGTATTACATCGGAAAAGGATATATGTTTTAGTACTATTTAGTGCAAATTTCCCAAAAACTAAACTGTAATAGCTAATAAGATCGAGACTAAGTTACAAGTTACAAGCACATCAAAGAGAAATATAATTTCTAATTTATAATTATTTGTATTTTGATAAAACATTTTTGTATATTGACGAGAATACTCTCAAGGGCTTGAATGATTTTGCATTCTAAAAGTGAAAAGGAAAAGTTGGCATCTTATCTTATGAGATACGTATCTACAATGAATGAGTATCAGCATTATATACGATGAGATAATGGTTACTGGGAATTGGAAAAATATTTTTATAGAAATCAGTGTCTATTTCTCTAATGTCAAATGATAAGATTGTCTTGAATGTCACATTCAGTGGCATTGCAGCATTACTTTTTCCTGGGAGAAGGACATGGGTG